ATCCATCTAGTCTTGGGCTTTTTTTTTTTTTTTTGGAAGGCTTCAATTTTATTATTTGATATTGATCTGTTTGAGTTTTCTGTATCCTCCTGGTTCAATTTGGGTAGGTCATATGTCTCTAGGAATTTGTCAATATTCTCAAGCTTTTCTAGCTTATTGGAGTATAAATTTCAAACTAGTTTCTGATAATCCTCTGAATTTCAGTAGTATCTACAGTGATACTTCCTTTTTCATCTTGAATTTGGTTAATTTGAGTTTTTCCCTCTTTCTTTTGGTTAGTTTGGTTATTTATCCTTTCACAAAAACCAGCTTTTTGTTTTGTTGATCTTTTGTATTGTTTTTTATTACTCTCAATTTCATTGATTTAGGCTCTGATTTTAATGATTTCCTATCTTCTACTGATTTTTAAAAATATTTATTTTTTAGAAGTAGTTGAACACAATACCTTTATTTTATTTACTTTTATGTGGTGCTGAGGATTGAACCCAGGGCCTTGCACATGCTAGATGAGTGCTCTACCACTGAGCCACAACCCCAGCCCCTCTTCTACTGATTTTGATGTTGGTTTGTTCTTCTTTTTATAGGGTGTTGAGATGTAATACTAGATTATTTATTTGWTATCTTTCTATTCTTTCTCTTTCCTTTTCTTTTAACATATCAGCTCAATGCTATGAACTTTCCTCTTAGATCTGCCTTTATATTGTCCCAAAGATTTTGATATGTTGTATTACTATTCTTATTTACCTCTAAGTAGTTTTTAATTTCTCCCCTGATTTCTTTGCTATCCACTCATCATTCAAAAGTGTATTATTTAATCCCCAGGATTAGACTGGGTTTTTATCTTATCATTGATTTCTAATTTCATCCCATTATGATCTGATAGAATGCAAGGCATTATATGTATTTTTTTCTATTTGCAAAGATTTGACTTGTGACCTAAAATATGATCTGTAATAGAAAATACTCCATGTGCTGGTCAGAAGAAAGTGAATTCAGTCATTGATGAATGAAATAGTCTATAGATGTCTATTAAGTTCATATTATTAATTGTATTCTTTAGTTCTGTAGAAACTTATTTTATATTTGGATGATTTATCCAGTGGTAAGAGAGGCATGTTAAAGTCACCCAGTATTATTGTATTGTGGTCAATTTGATTCTTAATATTTAGAAGGATTTGTTTCATGTATGGGGCATAATTATGTATATTTCATTATTTGGGGCATAAATATTTATAATCATTATATCTTCTTGTTATATGATTCCCTGAAGCATTATGAAGTGACAATTTTTGTTTCTTCTGATTAATTTTGTCTTGCAGTTCACTCTTTATCTAATATAAGAATAGCTATTGCTGCTGGGTTTTGAGTCCCATGTGAATGTTATGTCTTTTCCCATCCTTTCACTTTCAGTCTATGGATGTTTTGCCTATGAGTTGAGTTTCTCGTAGATAGCATAGTGTTGGGTCTTGTTTTTTAATCCAATCTACCAATCTATGTTTTTCAATTAAAAAGTTTAGACCAAAAAAAAAGTTATTATTGTGAGATGATTTTTAGTTTCTGCCATTTTGATTTATTTCTAATGTTTAAATCAGACTTGATTCTCCTTTAATTGACTATTCTAGTGTAGTTCCTCCCTGTGCTGGTTTTCATCTTTATTTTTCATTTCTTCTTCATGAAATATTTCAAATATGTTTTGTAGTACAAGCTTTCTAGTTACAAATTCTGTTAGCTTCTGTTTATATTGGAATGTTTTTATTTCATCTTCAATTCTGAAGCTTAATTTTTCTGGATATAGTCTTCTTGGTTGGCAACCATTTTCTTTCAGAGCTTCATCTATATTATTCTAAGCCCTCCTGTCTTTTAGGGTCTGGGTTGAGAAATCAGTTGAAATTTGTACTAGTTTACCTCTAAATGTGACCAGCCATCTTTCTCTTGTACATTTTATTTTATTTTATTTATTTCTTACATACATGACAATAGTTGAATGCATTGCATTCATAATTATACATTCACAGCACAATTTTTTGTAACTCTGTATATAAAGTATGCTCACTCCAAATTATGCCATTATGTATGAGCTCTCTTTATTTTTTTTTGCATTACAATTCTTAATACACCTTTATACCACAATTTATCATATCTCTGTTTGTATATAACGTATGTTGACACCAAATCCACATTTTCATACATGTCTTTTGTATAATGATGACCATCTCCTTCCACTATCCTTGCTATTCCCCTTCTCCCTCCCTTTCCCTCCCACCTCTATTCCCTATGGGGTAATTTTCCTCCCATGATCTCCCTCCCTACAAATCCTATCCTTACTCTGTATGTTAGGCATTTTCATTATAATGTGTCTCGGTGTTGGCATATTGTGATTTTGTATATTTGGATTCCTATATGCCTCTTGTATTTAAATTTCCATTTCATTCTTAGATTTGGAAGTTTTCCTGATATTATTTCATTAAAAAGATTTTGCACGGGCTGGGGCTGTGACCCAGAGGTAGAGTGCTTGCCTACCATTCATGAGGCACTGGGTTTGATCCTCAGCACCACATAAAAATAAAATAAAGATATTGTATAACCTGTAAATAAAAAACATTTAAAAAAAGATTTGCATTCCTTTAGCTTGTATTTCAGAGCCTTAATCTCCCCCTGATAATTCTTAAATTTGGGCTTTTAATATTATCCCATATTTTTCTGTTCATGGTCTCTTAATATCTTTTCTTTATGGTCAACTTCATTTTCAAGATTATACACTTTAGGGCTGGAATTGTAGCACAATAGTACAGCACTTGCCTTGCATGTGTGAGGTACTCAGTTCAATTCTCAGTCACATATAAATAAATAAAAATAAAGGTCCATTGACAATTAAAAAGATTATACACTTTGTCTTTGAGTCTGAAAAATCTATCTTTAAAATGATGTAGTGATGCTTTGCATTGAATTTTTATTTGGCTTATTTTTTAAAATATTTTTTTAGTTGTAGATGGACACAATACCTTTATTTTTATTTTTTATGTGGTGCTAAGGATAGAACCCAGTGCCTCATACACATTAGGCAAGTATTCCACCACTGAGCCACAACCCCAGCCTTTATTTGGTTTATTGAGTCTTTCATTTCCAGGATTTCCATTTAGTTCTTTTTCAGAATCTTTATCTCTTTATTGAAATCATCTTTTACTTCATGTATTTTTGTCTCCGATTTCACTCTTAACATCATCATTTAACTCATAGAACATTTTAACTATGAACTTTCTAAATTCCTCCACTATGRTGTTGATGGAGTCAAGTTGTTCAAGCATTAAGAGCTGTTTGGTATGACATATTCCCTTGCTTTTCCGTATTGTTTGTATGTCTATCCATCTGTTGGTATAGTTCTCACTTTTTTAAAGTACGGGAATATTTTGTGAGTTTCTTTCTCTTAAGAGCCCTAGGCAAATATCCAGGTAGTGATATCTTTAATCAATGTGTTTCCTCTTCTGATCCCAATATCAGCCCATTTTAAGAGATGCCACTGAATCTTATTTACTATAATCACTTCAGAGCCAACCTGATAAGAAAAGCAAAAAAAAAAATTGTTGCTATTATTCTACATGGTTCCTCAAATCTAGAGATAAGCTTGTAATAAAGTTTTCTCAATTCTGCTTTTCCTTTCTGTGTTGTGAGGAGATCAGAACTTACTGCCTTGCTCCCTTCCATCATCTGTTTCCACTGCCAAAACCAGGGATTTTAAGTATATGTAAATATGCCATAACGGAAACTACCATTCTGTATAACTGAGTTGCACCAATTAAAATAAATTTTTTTAAATGAAATGACTACTCAAACTCCAGCCACCACATCATCATTCCAGTAACTAGGAAACAGGAAGGGCATAAACAATGCTATCCTCTCGCCATATAAAGTGAAAATATACCCATTTCCTTTCACATCTCACTGACCATCATGATGATTAGCAAAGAAGACTGGGGTGTAAAGTCTTAACTAGATAGCAAAGTTTCCAGCTAAACATCAGGATTCTTATTATAAGAGAAGAGAGAGAAAAGAAAAAGAAAAACTGAGAGGTAAGAAGCAGCTTCTTCCAAAATTCCTGCTATGGCCAGGTTGATATTCTGGGAGCAAGGATACTGAGGAAAGGTACTGGGTCTATGCTCAAGGTATTTAATCTAATGGTGGAAAACAATATGTAAATAAACAATTACTTAAGATTCAAAACTAGATAACATCCACTGTTTGGAGACTTTCACTTTTCTGAATCTCCGAAGATTCTTTATATCCAAGAGTTAAAAGAGAGGTGAATGGTTCCACTGCTTTATATTCCTGAACTACAGAGACTGCTTCAATATTCCACAGCTTCAATAATGAACATTTCTCAACTCTGTTCTACTGGACATGATATCTTCAAGACAAATAACAGAGCAAAGTTCATTTAAGCACCTATAAATATATATGAACAACTATGGTAACAGTTTTAACAATTTGAAAATGCTCAATTCAGAAGTGTGTCAAGATTTAATAATTGGGGACTGAACCCTAGGGCACTTAACTAACCCCAGAGCCACATCCCAAGTCCTTTTTAAAAAAATATTTATTTTTTTTAGTTGTAGTTGGATACAATACCTTTATTTTACTTATTTATTTTTATGTGATGCTGAGAATCGAACCCAGGGTCTCAATAAGTGTGAGCACTCTACTGCTGAGCACCAATCCCAGACCTCAAGCCCTTTTTTTGTATTTTATTTGCCTTTTTTGTATTTTATTTTGAGACAGGATCTTGCTGAGTTACTTAGGGCCTCACTAAGTTGCTTAGGCTGGCTTTGAACTTGATATCCTCCCGCCTCAGCCTCCCAAGACCCTGGGATTATAATAGTGTGCCACCACTTCCAGTAAGACTCAACCTTTTTTAACTTGAGTATATGCAAAACTACAAACCAAATGAAAAGATGTGAACAAGGGCACCATGTCAGAAATAGAAAAAAAGTATTATTACGACTTACTGTTAACCACTGGTTATCTAGTAGTTCCTTAGCGGTGATTCTGTGAGCTGGATCTACTTTCAGAAGTTGTTTCAAAACACTTTTAGCTGCAAATAAGGGAAAAGTCCTGAAAAATTTTATTTCTCTTAACTACAATTAATGTCATATATTTTCTAATTTATTTAGGATTAGGTCTGTATAATATAAGAGAAAGATTCCAAGTATTATCAGTAAAAATACCTAATACATTTTTAAAAAGCCTAAAGTGAAGTTTTATTGCATAAACTACCTCATTTAATGGTCTATAGTAAAAATCAGCTAGAGATCACCAAATTTTCTCTTCAATTTTTACTATGTATTTTCTGGCTTGGGGAAGTTTTGATTATGAATAATCATAGGGAAGATATCACTATTTCTATAAGTAACTAGCATTTATTTTCAAAGTAAATGTTATGACTAAATAGAGATGTAAAGCAGTTTTACAACTGGCCCACTTTCTTATAATAATTATATTTGCTTTAGCAAATAACAGCAAATCTATACTTACCACAATCACTGACGGAATTCCAGATTGGATTTTCAAAATGTAGTTCTCCCTTTTTTATTAACTCAAAAAGGGTTTCTTCTGAGTTTGCCAAGAAGGGTGCTTCTCCACATAACCTAAACAAAGGCAATTATTTTTTTTAAATATTTAAAATATAATCAAAATAAAGCCATTGCAAATTAAGTTTCTGCAGGTCTTTGAAATAGTGGTTCTTTATATTTACAGAAATGAAGAAGAGATCTCTCCAGGTATAAGAATAATCTGGCAAAAGAAGTATACATATATACACTGAAACCTTCAGATTTGCAAATGATCTAAAGCTCTTCCAGGTGAGGAAACATAAGCTTAAATGGGGTTCAAATACAGGAAGTATATGAGTCTAATTACAGCGTAACAGGAGCAGCTAATAGGGGAGGATACAGTTTGATGTGAGCAAGGGTAAGGCAATGGCTTAAGATACATAATGGAAACTGAACTTATGAAAACATACAATGAGTTGTTAGAATCTAATGAGAGTTTAGAGAGTAGAATGACTATATAAGAGTTTTATTCATGGTGAAAAACTACACAAACAAAAATAAATAAATAAATMAAGACAATGCTGATAATTTCTATAGGCTCTGAGACAAAGCCAAAAAGCCATTAAAATGGCCACAACTCATTAATCATGGTGTATGAAATGAAGGCTTGGATGAGGAAAATCAAATGATGATTTGACCCCTGTTCTGAAAGAGTGAAAGCTGAGTATACACAACAACCAACATCAGTAAAACCACAGAAGTATATTATAAAGTAAACCTGGGCCTGTTTATATATTCTATACTTCAGTAATTATAGTTACATTTTTTACTGATTTTCTTTAGTGATGTTTTCCAAGTTCTCCAAAAATCTAACTCATGAACATTTCTGAATAAGTCAAATTTGATAAATGTTTTTCATGATGATTACTTTCCCAGGAACTTTAGTTACTTTCATCCTACTGGTTTATCAAACTAGGCTGGACTACTAGAGCTCTTCATTTACCAGAAGCATCTTGTTAAGAGGTCAGTATTTATCAAATTAAAATGAAGTATTTATCAAACCTTCATTTTAATACTTAAAATTTATACAGAACTTTCTGACCTGCCTCTCACTCATCTTATTCGCCTTGCTATTTTTGGTTTAAAAACATGATTTTAAAAGTCATAAAAATACAGGGCAGAAAAATGGCCTTATGGGTGATTACTATGTATTATAACAAGTACAGTCCAGCAAAAGCCCAGCTCATTGAGTCTGTTATCAACCAGTGATATGTGAATCCCCCAATTCCTTAGCTGCTCTGATGAGCATGCAACTATAGCTTAAGGGCTACATTTTTAAAAGTCCACTTTTTTTCAGTCCTTTGCAAGTTTATTTACGTAAAATGTATCTAATGGTTGGTCAATCAGCAGCATATGAAATTTTATGATGGCAATTTTCTTGCACATTCAGAAAAGGGAATCCAAGACATGAAAAAAATGCCTCTTTAAGTCCTCCTATCCTTTTCTTTTGTATCCATAGGAATCAAACAGCAGATGATAGTAACCACAGAAAGTATTTATTTTTGTTAATTGCACCTTGTGAAAGAATATTATCATTGTCCAATTAAGTAGAAATGAATCCAAGGTACCTAACTGATAAACAAGAAAATAACCCCCCTGGAGAAGGTAATGTGTTTGTGTTCCTGGTGAAGGAATTATCTATAACACGACTGGGATCAGACAGATTAATGAATATGCACTGATTAGCTAAGGAAGAATACCTTAAAAAATAGAAGAAGCCATTATGAAGTTATGCAGCTATGCACTGGAGCAGAACAATTAAAATTATATCTTTAAGAAAGAGAAAGATTTTAAAGATATGTAATATACTCACTTGCCTTAACATCAAATTCAAACTAAGAAAAAAACACTGAAAATGTAGCTTAGTGGTAGAACACTTGCCTAGGACATGAGGGGCCCTGGATTCAATCCCCAGTACAGCAAAAATAAATAAACAAAAATTTTAAAAGGCAGCAGCAAGCAAACACCATGTGAATTGTAGAATAATTGATTATACATATTATATTTGACTTGCTTAGAATGTCTTATGAGTATAAAAGCTTAATTTAAAAGAGTTATATTTTAGATAAAGACTGGGGCTCAAAATTTTTGCACTATGATTCTAGTCAGCACAAAACAATGGTCAAAAATTTTGCAAATACATTTATACTTTTTGCTATATATGCAATGATGTGTGTTGACCAAACTGAGTTACAGCTACAATAAACATCATCCAATTTCTACTGCCTGTGTATTCCATTTCACAGAGCTGTGAAAATGTAACTACTGTGATGTCAATATTTAGAAACCATCTGGAAGAGGTAGTAAGTAGTGAAATCTTCAATATGACCATAAAGCTAATGTTGCATCAACATAAAACATTCATACTCACCAAGAGGCAGAACAATGGTCACTAACTTTTCAGAACACCTCTTAGTCAATTCACTTAATTCAATTTAGCAAACATATTGAGCACATGAACACGTGCCTGTTATTGTATTAGATATCAGGTATACAAAGATGAATAACATAAAATATCTGTTCTTCATGAAATTTAGAGCAAGAAAAACAGGTACAATCTATATAATTATAGTTTCAAAWCACATTATGTTCACACATCAAAGTAAACAATTATCATATTTACACGAGTACAAAACAGATGACTTGAATGTTTGACCTGGGCCCACTCAGGAGAGAGGTTTGTAGAAAAGAATACAYGTATGCATGGGTGCACACATGCATACACATCCAAAGGCAAGCAGCGCAGGGTGTGTATGAGTAATCTAGAGTGGCCACAAAATAGGGTAGGTACATAGGAACACACACCTAGGCCAAAATAGGAAAGGCATGCTGGAGATAGGTCATGAAAGATTTGCTAAGCTTTGCCATGCCAGTTTGCTCTGATACTTTTCTATAGCAAGGAGTAATTATCAGAGGTCTTTAAAATCAAGAAATAGTATGATCAAATTTATGATTTAGAAAGACAACCTTAAGGGCTGGAGTTGTGGCTCAGTGGTAGAGTGCTCACCTAGCCTGCATGAGGCACTGGGTTCAATCCTCAGCACCACATAAAATATAAAATAAAGATATTGTGTCCACCTAAAACTTAAAAGTAAATATTAAAAAAGARAGAAAGAAAGACAACCTTAATAGCAGCAAGATTAACTGTGGATGGTGACCAGAGCAGGAAGAACAGACAGAAAGAGATTATAAAGAGAAATGATAAAGGTGAAGAGAAATCAAATAGTTAAAGATACTTCAAAGGAAAAAAAATCACAAGACTTTGGGTTTGACTAAATCTAGAGTGAGGAAGAAGAATCACTGTAGTCTCCAGTAACATTAAGAGAACTAGGAAATGCAGAGCACTCCCTAGACCCTGAACAAATTTCTACCTAGTTAGTGCTACTCCCCACATATGTCCTGTCCACATGGGTAGCTCTACGGCCAGGCTGTAGTACCTTCCTATACCTGATGGACTAAGATTATGAAAAAATACAAAGAAGTTCTTGATTTGTAAAAAGGGATCAGGAAAGTGTTTAGGACAGTTTTTCACTTTGCTCAGATTATATAGTGTATTGTTGCAATTATAGATCAATGAAAAGCAAAGCTGAAAGTTATAAATTTATAATATTAAAAAATATCTAAGGGATGAACCTGATAACTAATAAGAGAGCTTTTTAGAATGACTCTCCATTTGGTTTTTAAATCACTTTTTAAATATCGCTCAGTTCTAATTTAAAATCATTGTCATTCTACCATCAGAGACTATCCATTTATTTTACCCTGTACAATAAGCAGGCTACTTACAAATAATACATTATGACTCCTATGCCCCAAATGTCACACTGCTGGCTATAGTCGTGGGCATTGATAACTTCAGGTGCTGCCAAACAAGCAGAAATAAAATAGTATTAATAATACAATAAATGACTTTAAATGCTTAACACAAAGCATGAAAAAATGTGCTGATGTGTTGTAATTTATTCCCCCACTGGGAAAAAAAAAACAACAGCAGATGTTAAATGAATAATGTACAGGCCTTAACAATTGATGTCACTGTATTCTCATGCTTATCATTTAGCTTCTAATGGAATGATGGAACTGTATAACCAAATGTACTACTCTTTATTCCTGGGAAAATGTTAGGAAATGATTTTGCAAGATTGTGTAGTTACAGTAAAAAACAACAAGATCTCAGCCCTTTCCCCCAAATAGAATTGAAAATATGCCTTAAATAGAAGTAATTTAAGCAAGTCCAATGTGTAGAAATCTGAATTCACAGAAAAACTAAGAGAAATGGTTATAAATAACTTTAGTGAAAGAATAAGAATAATAACATCACAGTACTCCTAGGACAGAATATAAATTATTTCCCACATTTTATAAGTGAGAAAACCAAAACAAAGAGAGAAAGCTCCTATAAGACTGGATCAAAAAGCTAGTTAGAGGTTTTGTGAAACTTCAAAAAAACCAGTCAGTTAGTCACAGGATATTCAGGTATTCATGACTCCCCAATTCTGTGATCCTTGCTTTACAAAGATGTTCAAAAAACAACTGATTCCTTAAAACAACTTTCTCAAAATAGCATCATTCTTTCCATTTTAAGGGAGTACATTTTTAAAAAACTGGATTTTATTTTTGCAATAACTGGCTTTTTAAAAGGTGCATATGATATTGCAGAAATATGTTCATTTCACTTCTATAGCAATAGATCAGATATCTTTAATGAAAAAAAACAGTTCTAAAAATTATATATAATATATATATACATAAGATATATACATATATCTTAACAGAACTTTGAAATTTACAAAGCATTTTTGCATAAAAATTTTTAATAAACTGTGTTAAGAATCCTGTGAGATGGGTATGTAGGCATTTGACTCCTTTTAATCAATAAAAAAATAAGGTTGATGCTGGGATTTTGGCTCAGAGGTAGAGCGCTTGCCTAGCACAGGMAGGACCCGGGTTCGATCCTCAGCACCACATAAAAATAAAGGCATTGTATTGTGTCCATCAACACCTAAAAAATAAATAGAAAAAAATATTTAAAGAAAATAAGGTGGAAGTATATTAAGCAACTTCTCTAAAGTCACACAGTTACAGAGCACATCCCACAGAAAAGGCATGTAAACAACTTTTTTAGAAAACAGTTTGAATCTCCCACACTTACACACTGAAACACACACACATACCCACACACACACACACCTTTATAATAACTACTGAAAGCAAACAGAATTCCCTTTCTACTTTTTTACTCTGCCTTTTACTTTAAAAGAATGAAAAAGCAACACAAGTCGAAAGAGAAGAATGAGAAAAGGCTATACTATAGATAATTAATAAACTTACTAATTTTCCTTCAAATGATTAAAAATTTAGTAATAATTTCCTTTAAGCAACTACTGTACTTGTATTCTTTAATATTACTTAAAATCTTTAAATATTGCATCATTATAGTGCAAGTTGTTCTATGATCGTGTCTATCACAAGGGTAAATCCTGTGACTGGAGACAATGAAGGCTCACCATATTGATGCATCATACAGCAGGGGCTAGGAATTCCTAGACTTCACTTTTTCAGAATGTTCTTAATTATCAGGGGCATTTCTACTTACACTGTCATCCCAGCCCTCAGGGAGGCAGAAGCCAGAGTAACTGTGCCAAGGAGCCATTTAGAAAGTCAGCAAAGCTCCACAAACCATCTGTCTTCTCTCTAGTTCTCTCACTTGTTATAGTGTAGACAACTAATAAGCAGGCATAAAACTCAGGGTGCTTAGATATATTTTCCCCATGTAACTACAGACCAGCTGTCTTTTGCCAACGGGAAGATATGAACAGAATCTAAAGTAGCCTTTTCCAAAATAAGATAAAACAATTTAAAAACTTTAGTATCAAGCAGGCAAAAAAGCAATAAAAAAGAATACTGATATAACAACATGCAAAAAATCTCAAAATCATATGGAACCAAAGWAGATAGACACAAAAGAATATATACTATATAATTAAATTTACATAAAATGTCTAGTCAAGCAAAACTGATTGTGGTGATAGAAATCATCAGGTTTCTGGGACCTAGATAGGAGGTTGACTGAAATGGACACAGAGGAACTTTATAGGATGATAGACATGTTCTAAATCTTCATTGAGGTGGTGATTACATGAGTATATGAAGTTTTTAAAACTCATTCAACTTTACATTTAAAATGTGTGTATTTTACTGTATATAAATTTTATTTCTATAAAGTGAGTTTTTTTTAAAAAAAAATCTACTATAACTACAAAAAGAACTAGTTAAAGCCTATCTTGGTGGGTGATTTTAATAATTTTCAGAGATCAAAGGAAATTGAAAATCTTCAAGATACAATCATAAAGATACAATAAGAAAACTATACAGATGATCCAAAAGGTCATGAAAATAAACTCACATTTACATGAACATTAAACACATCCCAGTCACCTGGAAAATTCTAAACACACCTCTAAATAATTGTTGGCTTAAAGAAGACTAAATCTAAAATTATAGTGTAGTAAGAGATGAATCACAATTAGAACACTGTATGCCATAAGAGAAGAAAAATTCATAGCTTTACATGTACTTATTAGAAAACAAGAAGACTGATAATAAACAAGCATTCAACTGAGGATTTCCATTTTTTAGGATTTTAGGATTTCAATTTTTTCACATCCTTGCTAACTCCACCCCCCCAACCCCCGAGTACTGGGCATGGAGCACAGGGCCTCATGCATGCTACATTCCTAGCCTTTAAATTTTTTTTATTTTGAAACAGGGTCTCACTGAGGTTGTTGAGGCTGGCCTTGAACTTCTTATCTTCCTGCTTTAGCCTCCAGAGAAGCTGGGATTAAAGGCATGTGCAGACCAAAAGAAAAAGAGAATGAACTCAGAAAGATAAAAGTAGAAATTTATGAAAAAGCCATCCAAATACTGTAAGATATGAGCTAGTTCTTGAAAAGCCCAAGAAACTGCCCTAACTACTAACAAATTTGATTAAAAAAATAATAATAAAAAGTTGTGTTAGTACAGGAGCAAAAATTGAGTTCTTAGTGCCAAGCACTGTTTTAAGCTCTTTACTCCCATTTTCTCATTTAATTCTCATTTTAACTTGATAAAATCCTCCTCCTCCCTGTTTCATTTATTGTCCTCAGCACTTCTCTTTAACTATATATATATATATATATATATATATATATATATATGCAATATGCACATTTACGCCAATGAAATAACAATTTCTAGAAAACAGTCAATATTATCAAAATTATTCAAGAAGTGAAAACTGAAATAATGCAATATAAATGAAAAATATAACAGAAACAATATTTGCAAAGGATAACAGGACCAAACACTTTTAAAGGGAAATTTCAAACTATTAATATATAACATCTATCATGTAAAATGTTCATGGGCATATAAAAAGTGAATATTGTTTTTAATTTTTAAATGGTGCCAGCATACCCTAGCACAAAAAGAAGAAAGCAACAGTCAAAGTTCCTACATAAAGTGGTAGCAACTTGAATAGAGCAATATATTAAAGCAACCTTGCAAATATGCAAGAGTGGTTCAACATTTTATAATCTATTAATGAAACTACATACACACACACACATATTACAGACATTTCAACAGAGAGGATATTATGAATAAGACACTCAACAATGTTAACCATTAGGAAATGCAAATTAAAAACCACAATGAGATAACACTTTATACCCACTACAATGCTACAATTTAAAAGATAGTTAATATCAAAGCTTGGTAAGTAGCGAAGGGCAGTGGCACATGCCTTTAATCCCAGCTTCTGGTAGGCTAAAGCAGGAAGATAGGAAGTTCAAGGTCAGCCTTAACAACCTCAGTGAGACCCTGTTTCAAAATAAAAAATGTTTTAAAGGCTAGGAATGTAGCAGACCCTGGGCTCTATCCCCAGTACTGGTGGGAGGGGGGTTCAGGGTGGGGTGGGGTGGGGGAAAGAGTTGGAGAGTTGGCAAGGATGAGAAAAAATTGAAATCCTTAAACATTACTGGTGGAATGGTAACAGCCACCATGGAAAACAAGTTTGTCAATTTCTTAAAAAGTTAAACATACACTTAACATATGACTCAGCAATTTCACTCTTAAGTAAATACCCAAGGAAAATGAAATGACATGTCCTCACAAAGACTTGAATGTTCATAACAGCATTATTTGTAATAACTTCACACTAGAAACAACCCACGAGTGCATCAGTGTGGCATACCCATGCTATATAACTATTTAGGAATATAAAGGAACAAACTAGAGACAAATTCTACAACATACATGTAGCTCAAAAATATTATGGTAAGAGAAAGTAAGCCAGGCATAAAAGTCAACATAGTACAAAAGACCACATTATCTTATGATTCCTTTTGTATGACATGTCCAGAAAAGAAAATTCTAGAGAGAGGGGGAAAATAATCAGTGGCTACTTGAGGGTAGGATAAAAATGAGATTGAGTACAAATGGGCATGAGGGAACTTTTGAAATAGAATTGTGATAATGGCTGTATACTCTGTGAATATGTTGTTTTAAAACTGAATTGTGATGATAGCTGTATGATTCTGTGAATATATGAAAAATCAATGAATTGTACCTACTTAATTAAACCTTAATAAGCTGTTTAAAATTACATTTAGAAAAAGGAAATGTGTTGGTTTAAAAAATATATTTAATCAACCAATCTTTATGAAAAACTGATGGCAATAAAATTGAACAAAAATGCAAAGAAGCAAAACATATATGTGATTTTAGTGTGATTTAACAAAAACAGTAAGTTTGAGGTATGTTTACCTAAGAGATAAAAATAATTTTAAGAAGATCCCAGAGAAACAACAAAAATTTCAACAATCACTGAAAGTAAGAACTATGAGAAAAATGCTAGAACAATTGAAATCATTTAACCTAAGAAAGAAAATTTTGATTGATCAAGGGCCATTAAGTCATGATAGCAAAATCAAATCATTCAAATTGCACTCTATACTAATTGTTCTACTTTTTACAGAGGAAAAAATAATCTTTTAAGTCTACTAACTTACCCATATAGATAGGAGTCCCACATGTGGCCTGCATCATGGCTTCAGCTCTACCATGTTTCTTTACTGCCAAGCCAAAATCGGTCACCTAGAAGAAAAAAAGCAGGCATAGTCACCCATTTTCCTATTCCAGACTTCACTCATTCTGAAGATAGGACTTTCACCACATCGTAATTGCATTTACTTATTTATTGCATTTACATAGATATTCCTATGGGTAGGAACTTTATTAACTAAAAAGACTTTTATTAACTAAAAAGACTTGTATTAACTAAAAAGACTTTTTTCTCCCCATCCACCTCTTTGTGTGGGGAGGAAACCTGATAGAATGAAGCCTGGTTTCTCAGATCTTGAGATAACACCCATGATGTTGATTGTTCATGCCTCTGATTAAATTCACCAGTTCAAAATAGGAGTTGTATCTTGAAAGAAGGCATCTAACTTTTTTCATTGCAAAATACATTCTAGCCTTAGTGTATTATCTATTTTCCTGATTCTCAAGATATGTTCCATTTTAAAGCACTGTTATAAATCAAATCATTACCCTTATGGGCATTCACTGAAATACCCTTTTTATAGTTATTTATAATTGGTAAATACTACCTTTTCTTTACTATGATTTCCTTTTGATTCTAGAGTATACTAATTAAAACAATTACTATCCTATTAAAAACTATGAGAATCAAATTAACAAGAAAAAAACTCATAATAATGCAGTGTAACTATGAATACTCTAGAGGCCTACTGCTTGCAGCTGCAGTCTTTCTGCTCCATTCTAAATCTTAGTAATTAAACATTTGGTTATTAAATATTGAGTGTGTACCCTTGGTCTTGTCTCCCACGGTAGAAGACTCTTGGCCAAAAGCAGAAAAACAGACAAATCTATTCATCATACAACCAAATACAGCCTCTTGGTACTCACTAAATGCAAAGCTTTTAGTACCTTATGGAGTAAGAAAATGTCCCTAGTTAACATGTGATATCACTATTTTTCTAAAATATGAATCAATTTTTCCAGGCATTTTCACAAATACCTACTTTGAGCATTATGATATATCTTTCTCTACAGAAAACCTGTACAGACATCAAGTAGACCAAAGCCTTCACAATCCAATTTAGTTCTTGGAGAGCATCAATTCCTTAATTTGCCAAAGATTAGTTGAGCACATTCTATGTCTCAGGGACTAATCAAGGTTCCAACAGAGCATAAGACATACACAATTTCTGACTTCATGGAGTTTACAATGGAACTATTTAGGAACATTTACTTCAGTAAACCAAAAGTACTGCGTTGAACTTTTTCTAAGGACTTAGCTTCAGCAACAGCAAGTTACTCACAAACAACATTTTATTCTGAGATAAAAACATGTACGTATTTTGAAAGCAGCCACTATTAAAGTGCTGAGTAATAAATAATATATCCTATCATTTATTTGACATTAAGGAATAAAATCTTCAAGAATAAACACTTGGCACAGTAATTGCGCTTAAGACATAAATATTAACACCCAGGAAAATTTTCAATGAGAAATACAGACTGTAGCATTAATTTAGCATCAAAAGCACAGCCAAGGTGTGTTTTTCTCTAAATCTGTAACACATTTACATCAAATTACCAGGCATAATTCTGAAATTAATTAGAATTCAGAGCATCTGTTTGCTTGCTATTAACTAATGATTTAGAACATCCAAATGAGTATGTACTTTAAAAAACACCACTTAAATTGTAAAATTATTCTTGTCAGTTACAACCTCTTTTGTGAATTTTTTATTTTTTAGCACAAGTAAATTATTTTCTGGCTGCTTAAAAGCAATTGATATATATCTAAAAGTTGTACTCTGCCACTTTGCTAATAAACTATTTATAGGGAAATATTTATCATCATTTTTAATATCTTACCTTTATATTTAAGTTCATTTCATTGTTAGCATCAACAAAGCTGCTTTTTACCAATATGTTTTCCAGTTTTAGATCTCTATGTACTATATCTATCAAGAAAGCAAACAAGTCAAATGAAATGTATAACAGAAAAATAAAGAGTACATCAATAAGACAAATAAATGTATTTAACAAATTACAATCCACTGCTGAAAATGGAATGGTGGGGGGCAGGGTATAAATCTTACAAACCATCTTCCCTACATTTCTAACCCTATGAAGCCTTTTGGGTTTTTTTTTGTCTCCCTCATCTCTACCCATTCCCTTGTTGCCCCAACTGGTTGCTCTTCATGATGTGTGGCCTGGTTAAGTGTGGAGGAGGATCCTGGCCAAGGTGACCTTCCGAGGAGGAGGGAGACAGTGTTAGAAGTACAGTAATGTTGCCCATATCCTTAGAACTTCAAAAGAAGAGATCAATTCTTTACTTCTAAATATGTGCTACTGTCAGTATAAGAATTTTAACACACTTTAATTTGGCTATATGTATATAAACTATATTTATTTCCGTATATTTTTCTATAACATCAGCATACATTTCATACTCTTGGTATGTTAAAATAAAAAAATCCTTGAGACATAAAATCTTTAGTTGAACATATTAGAGTTTAAGTAGTATTTTTGTGTCCCTGCAAATAATCATGTAAAAATTCTTCGTTTGCAAATAATTAATTCAATTCATATCCATAGCAATCATTTCTCTAGATTATAAAAGTTAAGGGTTTAATTGCTAGAAAAATGGAGTTGAATGAGCCCTGCAGTGGTAATTATATCTAGTCATTTATATTTTCCTTACACAATTTACAGGTTTTGTTTTTGGAATTTGTATTGTTCTGTTCCTCTGCTTGTCTTTTCTTACATAAATACCACATGGTTTTAATTAATATATCCTTACGGTGTATTTTGATCCCTGGCAGGGCAAGTCTCCCTGCTCCCTCATTGCTGTTCATTGTTGTACTATCTATTCTCACCTGTTTTAGAATAATCAAGTTTTAGGAAAATGCTATAAAAATTTGGTTTGGAATTATACTGAAGTTATAGCTTAATATAGGAGGATTGGCATGAGCATAATATTAAGCCTTTGCAAAAACAGTTTCCCCTCTGTCTGGAATGTCCTCCCTTTTTTGTCTAAGTTTGTATTCCTAGATTGAATATTGTTTCCTCTGAATTCTTTTCTGACATTCAAAATCAAATGATATATTAACACTCCTGTGTTTCTTGAACTTCACAGGGTTCTCCACCAGAGAAATTTTCATATTTGATTACAAATTGTTTTTTTACGCTCAATCTCTCACTAGCTTGAGTTCCTTGAGGGAAGATGCCTTATCTTTTAATCTGTGTAACTCTAAGATCAGTAACAGTGCAATAGACGCTCAGGAAAAATCTGCTAAAGGAATCTGAGATCTAGTACCAGCTCTGCCCCACCAAACCACGTCACTGCACCTTTTGGGAACAAAGTTTTTTCTCATCTGAAAGATGAGACAGTTCTAAAGTCATATGGTAAGCCAAACTAACCTTGAAGAAAAAAAAAAAAGATGCATGAGGCAAAGCAGCAGCAGTAACATCAAAGAACAGAAAAGTCAAAGAATAATTACCATAATCGTTAAATGTGGTTTTTAAAGTACTGTGAAACTACTCTATATGATGCCTTAATGGTAGATAAATATCATTATGCATTTGTCAAAACCCACAGAATGTACAACACCAACAGTGAATCCTAATGTAAACTATGTACTTTGGGTGATAGTGATGTGTCAATGTGGGTTCATCAATTTTAATAACTGGACCACTCTAGTATGGGATTTTGATAGTGGAAAATGCCTTATATATGTGAGTGCAGGGAGTTTAAGGGATATTGCTGGACCTTTTGCTCAATTTTGGTGTGAACCTAGCATTCTAACAATAAATTTGAAAGTACAAAAAAGAAAGCCTAGAACACACACATTTTTAATGTTATTAATATATAAATTTTTAGGAAATTTCACTTTTAATATTGTTTTTTCTACTTTGGATATATTGTCTGCTTTTTAAATCACTAAACAGAAATGTTCATAGGACTCGAGGTGCAGCTCAGTGGTAGAGTGCTTGCTTAGCACATGCAAAGCTCTGTGTTTAATCCCCAGCACTATCAAAAAAAAAAAAAAAAGCAATGTTCATAACTGCTTCTTTGTCTATGTAAAATGTAATTGTGTATCTGTTTGTTTCTAATTAAAATGTATCTATACATAAAGTGAAAAGGGAAAACTACAAAATAGCAAACAAGTCTTCTATATTACCAAGTGTTATTTATATGACTGTGAATACAATTACCCTTAAACAAAAGTGATATCTGCATTTATGGACTCAATGAGTTGGATGATCCTCTTCTTACCCTTAGTATGAAGGTATGCTATAGCTGATGCAAGACTTTGAATGATCCACCTTGTCTCATTCTCTGAGAAATGCCCTTTCCTATCCAGAACTGCTTTGAGTTCTCCATCCTCACAAAGCTCCATCACAAGGTACATTTTCTGACATTATGTATTTAAAAGAGAGAGCAAGAGAGAGCAAATTATATAGCTGTGTATCWTTAAAATGTTATATATTGTATTACATGATCACAATCTTAATCATCATTAATTCATTCAAAAATAATTTTATCTATTATGTACAGGATACTGAACTGGATACTAGAAGAACATAAGACATAGTCTTTACTCCCAAGAAGTTCCCAATTTAGTTACAATTACAGAATCATTGATAAGTGCTAATGGCCCAAAATGTGATAGGGTTATGGGGGAGGTGCAGTACTTCTCTGCCCAAAGAACGCTCACAGGAGGGCTGGGGCTGTAGCTGGGGGCAGAGTACTTGCCTGGTATGTGTGAGACACTGGGTTCAGACCTTAGAACCACAAAAACCAAACCAACAAAACCAAATAAAATAAAGGCAAGCCGTCCAACTACAACTACAAAAAAAAAAAAAAAAAAAGAATGCTCACAGGAGAGACATTAAAGCTAGATCTAGGTGTTTGAACAGGGATTTGTGGGTAGAAAATGTAGGGGAAGATCAGGCAGAGTACACGGTATAAATTTGAAACAACATCAGCTATTAAAAGGACAACAAATATCTCAGCATTAATAACATTAGAAGCTTGATAGGGTGAGGAGGAAAGAAGTGGTGGGGAAGAAGCTAGAAAGAACAGGTTGGTGCCAGTTGGTAAAGTCTTGGATATCATCCTCAAGAGTATAGATTTTTTTCCCACATGCAATAAGCCACTGAATATTTTAAGATAGTGTTTTGGAAGGGGGAATGTTATATGATATTATCAATTTTGCATTTCCAAATGAACACTCTAGCAGTAGTGTAACATCGGGGCTCAGCAAAAATTTTCTATACAGGCCAAACCCAGGAGTAAATATTATAGGCTTTGCAAGCCAGTCTCTTTCATAACTACCTGGCTCTGCTGCTGTAGTATGTAGTATGAAAGCAGCCATAAACAATACAAAAACACTCTATTTATGGACTTGGAAATTTGAGTTTCATATAATTTTCACAAGTCATAAGATATTATTCTTTTGCATATTTTCCAATAATTTGAAAACGGAGAAAACTTTGTTTATAGGCCTTAAGAAAATGGGCAGCAGACCAGTGCTGACTTCTGTTGAGAGTGGGCAGGTATGAGGAATAGAATACAAACAAGAAGGAGGAGGAAAAAAAGATTTGAAAAATTCCTAGGAGGAAGAAACAGTGGGGCTCAATGACTAATTGGGTGGAGCAGTAAGAAGATACAGATGAAAGGCCTCTTCCATATTTGCTGTTTCTTTCTTTCTTTCTTTCTTTTTTTTTTTTTTGAGAGAGAAAGGGAGAGGGAGAGAGGGAGAGGGAGAGGGAGAGGGAGAGAGAGAGAAGGAGAGAGAATTTGTTAATATTTATTTTTTAGTTTTTGGTGGACACAACATCTTTATTTTATTTTTATGTAGTGCTGAGGATCAAACCCAGCGCCCCGCACATGCCAGGCAAGCRTGCTACCGCTTGAGCCACATCCCTAGCCCTGCTGTTTCTTTTAAGGCATATTAATATCTCTTTAGATATTCCAATAGTTAAGTCATCTATTGAGTCAAAATGATTCACAATCAACCAAAATGCAAGTCTTTTTCACATGTATTGCTATGGATAGAGACTACTCTCTGCATCTCCATTCTAACCTCTGCAGCTAGATTTCTGTTGTTCTTAAGATTTGGGGGGGCTGGGGCTGGGGTTGTAGCTCAGTAGTAGAGCACTTACCTGGCAAATATAGGGCACTGGGTTCAATCCTCAGCACCACATAAAAATAAATAAAATAAAGGCATTGTCCATCTACAACTAAAAAAACTTTTAAAAAAGATTTGGGGGTCTGATTCTGCTCTTATAACCACTGCTAATACAACTTCAGTGTTCAATATAAACATTAAAGCAGGAAGAGAAGGTTAACATCCTTTCTTCTTACAGACACAATTCTGATTCACTGAACTTCAGACTGCTTTAGAATATCAAAAGTTATCTGCAAAGTCTGACACATAAATAAGCTTTTGAACTGGGCCATACTTTCTTCATTGACAGGATCACTGGTACACAGAGGGAAAGTTGCATTAGTAGGGATTACAGTATTAACTGATGTCAATTTTAAATGCAATTTGATCAAAATTATATCAGTAACATTTATAAAAACAAATTATTTTTATAATCATTAGAAACAATTGGGTAGATCTAGAGAATGTTTAGATTCATGATAAACTAGCATATGCAGACTGGATGATCAGTAGTAAAGAAATGGGAACCATTTCTTTAAAACGGCTTCAGTGGAAAGTCTAAACATTTGTGAGTGTTTACAAGTTAGGGGGAGGCAGATTTGACCTAAAAACAAACAAAAATGTGATACCAGGCAGCATAAAAAAGCAATCTCTGGGAGAAAGGAAACACAAGAGGCAAGCCCCATGATTATCCTTGCTTCCTGACTGGAGAATTTCCAGACTACAGGCAAGGAGAGAGAAATCAAGCAGGGGCCAGCAGCCTCCATGGATCAAAGAGGTGGAGCTGGGAGTTCATAGGAAAAGTATAACAGAAGGAGAAAGCTGTACAGACAGAAAGCTCCAGAGATTTGCCTCCTCAATTCTTCAGCATATGATTAGAGTACTAATCAGCACATGATTCATTCCCAAAACTGGGAAAATAAACATGCAAAAGGAGCTGAGGGAACAATCACTTGAGCTTACACATGGCCAGGAACAGTTTGTGTTCCAATTAACTAGTAGATAGAGCAGAGGRGTTTGAAGGGAAGAAAGGGAGCATGGGGTTAGAAATGATGGAGGAATGTGATGGTCATTGTTATCCAAAGTATGTGTATGAAGACACAAATTGGTATGAATATACTTTGTATACAATCAGAGATGTGAAAAATCGTGCTATATATGTGTAGTAAGAATTGTAATGCATTCTGCTGTCATGTATAAATAAAAAGAAAAGAAAAATATYATACTTCATGGGACATTGAATAGAGTGTGTATACTCAGAAGGCTTGAACCTTGGTAGTAGGGAAAATGAGTCCTGGACTAAGGGCTGCTCTGGTGCCACCTAACAAAGATTAAAGCAAGATTCAAAAGTATCAAACTATTTCCAAATGACTTAACTATATGCTAGATTAAAGGTCAAGAACAGTTTTAAGAATATAAAAATATCTGGTACAGGTACCAATTTTTAATAAGACTTCTGAAGCTCAAGAGATAAAACCAAGAATCAATAAGTGGAATGGCATCAAATTAAAAAAACTTCTACAAAGAGATGGTAACAAGAGCATGAAAAGAGAGCATACAGAATGGGAGAAAAATTTTTCTAGTTACTCTTCCAACTGGGGATTAATATTCGGAATATATAAAGAATTCAAAATAACTTAACTTCAAAAAACCCAAATAACCCAATCAATAAATKGACAAATATTATCAACACATTTCTCTAAAAAAGAAATATAGATGGCCAATAAATATATGAAAAAATATTCAACATCCCTATCAATAAGGGAAATGCAAATTAAAACTACACTTGAGGTTTCATCTGACTCCAGTTAGAATGGCAGCCATCAAGAATACAAAGAATACAAAGGGGAATGAAGGGAAGGGAGGTGAGATGGGATAGGGAAAGACAGTGGAATGAATCTGACCTAACTTTTCTATGTACATATATAAATATGCCTCAGTGAATCTCATCATGTACATCTAAAATACACTAATAAAAAAAACCCCTATAAGTAAATAGCAGAAAGATTGGTAGAGTAGAGGGAAGGTAACAGGGGGAGAGAAAGGGGTAGTATTGAGGATTAAATTAGAACAAATTACATCCTATGCTTTTATAATTATGTCAAAATGAATCCTATTGTCATGCATAACTAAAAAGAACCAATAAAAAAKAATACAAATAATAATACATGGTGAAAATAATGGGGAAAGGTACACTTATATATATTTGGTAGGATGGCAAATTAGTACAACCACTTTGGAAATCACTATGGAGATTCCTCAAAAAGACTAGAAATGAAACCACCATATGACCCAGCTATCCCATTCCTTGTGATTTATCCAAAAGAACTAAAATCAACATACTATAGTGATACATGTACATCAGTGCTTATAGCAGTGCAGTTCACAATAGCCAAGTTATAGAACTTGTCTAGGTGCCCCTCAACATACAAATGGATAAAGAAAATGTGGTATATATACTCAACGAAGCTTTTCATAAATTTTGAAATTTAGTCATTTTCTGGTAAATGTATGGAACTGGAGAACATCATGCTAAATGAAATAAGCAGGACTTAGAAAGTCAATGATTGAAAATTTTTTCTCATATGCAAATGTAGAGAGACAGAGAAAAAAGGGGTGAGTGCATGAAAACAAAAGGGAGTCCAACAGAGTAGAGGAAGGGTATCCAGAGAGAGGGAGGAGGGGAGAACATGGGAACATAAAGGGTAACAAAATCTACCCATGTTATACTATGTCCATGTATGAATAACAAAATCTACCCATATTATACTATGTCCATGTATGAATAAACCCCAGTGGATTTTGTATAAATGTAATATATATACTTTCTATATATGTATTCTATGTATGTATGTATGTATTCTCTACATATAACATATGTATTCATATATATATATRTRTATATATATATAATGTACTAATTGAAATAATAATAAGAATGGAAGGGAGATTAGAAGTGTAGAGCAAGCAGATCGGGGGAGGAAAAAAGAAGAAACTGGGGAATGAGATTAATTAAATTATGCAATGTGCATGTATAAATGGGGCATAATAAAGTCCACTATTGTGTATAATTGTAATACATTAATTTAAAAAGAGAAAAGAAAATAAAAGCAATAAGAATTTGAAAAAAAAGAATATAAAAATGTGAAGTATCCAAAAAGGTAAAATTCACAATGCCTGGTATCCAACCAAAAATTAATAGGTATACAAAGTCTGAAAATATAACCCATAATAAAGGGAGAAAAATATCAATCAGTTGAAACTGTTCTAGAAATGATACAATGTAAAATTAGTAGCAAAAGGACATTAAAATAGTTATTATGACTTCAATAAGGAAGAAAGATTAGGTATGTTAAGTAGACACATGGAATGTACATATATATACATACATATACACACACACATACACATACATGCACACACATACATACAAATAAAATTTCCACTGGAAGAGATTAATAGCACACTTAATGTTATAGAAGAAGAGATTACTGAACATGAAGACACATCAATATAAATTATACAAAATAAAATATGAAAAGAAAAAATGTTGGAAAAAATGAACAGAGGACCCTTAAAGACTATCAAAGAAAATGAAAATCAATAACTAACATTTAATGAAACAGATACTTTATATCCATTTTCCCATTTAATCCTTCAATGTATAAATGAAATCAACACTATTATTAAATCCATTTTACAGATGAGCAAATGAGGAATAGAGAAATTGAATGCCTTGGTCATGGTCTCATGGCTAGTAAGTGGTAGAATCAGGATTCAAATGCACAGGAAATCTGATCTTGGAATCTACATAATTAACCACTATATCATAGTACTTCCAAGCCGAGAAACACCCAAGTCCACAAGCACTAAAAAATCTAGAGGCAAAATTGAAAATAAGCCAGGCTTCTGAACAACTCTAAGTGAAAATTACAGACATTTAAATAGAAAAATGATAACATTTAGGAAAGAAAAAAACACATTGGAATGATACATATGATGAAATGTTTTATACATAATACCAAATATACTATGCCAAGCTGATTATAAAGCTAATTTTTCAAAATTATGACAGTATTCCAAGAAACTCTAATGGAAAGACTAAAAGCCAAAGCTAAAGGAATGCCATCTCTAAGGAAGCTCTAATCACTAACTGGTTGAGTATGAAGTTGTTGTAATTTTAAACATTTGTTTCCACCATGCCACCCAGAACATATTACTAAAGACATCAATCAATCATCAGACACCTAATTATACAATCAATAATAAAAGTCCTCCAGAATATTCTCATCAATCTCCAATGTCAGACTCATGCCAAGGACATGAACAACTGTGCCCCAGAGGAATTACTGCAGAATGAAATGATATTCATTTTACAATAGTAACAACTTTCAAAACATAGTATCCGATAGAACTTTACCTTAGGTGTCTCAAATACTTGTTCCAAATGTATGATGTGTTTATGATTTACACTTTTTAGGATATTCACCTCCCGTTCAAGTAACTTCACAGCAGAGCTTCCAGCCTTAATCAATGAAAAAACACAGATTTCACATTTGAATGTCACTCTCACATTCCTTGATATAAAATTGCTTTTTGCTTTTATCTATATTACCTGAGAAATATCCTTTTTAAATGATATCATTTAGTTTATCCCATGATCAGACTAAATTATGCTCTTCTTTCCTTCATGCAATTTCAAATTATATTTAGTTTGGCCTCAAACTATATCTATCTCTTAAACTGTTTCTGTAAATTAGCTACAARATGGCATATGTCCCCTCACAAAATTATTCTAATTTTTAGCATGCTTTTTGATATTTCCCTCAAAATCATATTGACCTTTTGATGTTAACATAATAAAAACAAAATTTTCTAGGGACACAAATTGGAGATGTTTTTATAAGAAAATGTTTTTTTCTTTTGTTGCTGTTTTGTTTTTATTTAACTTATGTATATCAAAGGAAATACATACATTTCCTGGAATCCCACCTGGTGTCCCACCTACTTGGGAGGCTGAGGCAGGAGGATTGCAAGTTTGAGACCAGTTTGGGCATCTTAGTGATACCTTGTCTCAAAATTTAAAAAATAAAATGGGCTGGGGATATAGTTCAGTGGTAGAACACCTCTAGAACCAATCCCTAGTACCCAAAGAAAAAGAAAAAATACATAGGCAGTGAGATTCTGCATTCAACCCTGGATTATGTTTCTTCCTGATCCCCTGATTAACCTAAAGAGACAGAGACTACCTTGCTTTCAGATCAACCTAATCCCTATTTTATCTCCTAACAGCTAACATTTACCATGCCTGGTAGCAAAGGTAAAGGCAGGACCACTCCAGGGAGCACAAGGACTTCATTTAGCATGTAGGTAACTATGTACAATGTCATCTAAGAAACTCTAGAGAAGTTTTCTCTACCCTCACCACCACCACCCCACCTCAAATCATCAACCCTACTGATAATTTCCATTATTTGAGGATAAGTACTATCTTCCTTTATGAGTCCTATTTCCACATAAAAATGTCTTTGAAAGGACAAATTTTAAAATGTCCTTGACAGGGATAATAAAGGACTTACTCCTTCACTTACCACCCAACCCCATTTTGGAAAGGTACATAAATAATTCTGAAAGGAAAGTGACTTATCACAAAGCTCACATCATCCAGTTAAAATTTTATCTAAAGTTATTCTTGTTTTCACTCAACTTCATTTTTCAATCTACACCATCTTGGGATGACTAGGATTACTGACACTCCCCCTACCATGTATAACCCACCCATATAGGATGAAAACACATTTTAAGATTAACCTAGAAGATCAAGAAAAATAGTGACTATAAAGGAGTGAATTCTTGTCTAGACTACATATGGAAAGTTAACATAATTTCTCCTAATAGCCATCTTAGTTCTGTTCCTTTCTCTCTACCCAAATATCTTGACCTGTTCATAATGCAATAATTTTGTTCAATTATATATTATAATTTTAACCTATATAACTTTATTGTAATATCATAGTTTCCCATAAACTCTCAACATCAATATGTATGTGAAAGAGTAATTCCTAAAGTTGCAAGTAAGTATCTTGTCTATATAGCCCTAAAACTGGACCCCTAACCTAACTGAAACCAAAATAAAGGTGGAAAGGATACCCTGGGTATCATTGTGGGTTGCTTCCTAGAACCTTAAAGAATTCTAAAGATTTCTAGAAAGACTCTTAATTGCTTTATTAATCTTATTAAGATTTGATATGTGCCACGTGCAGTGGCACCCATCTGTAATCCCAGTGGCTCCGAATGCTGAGGCAGGAGGATTGCTGGTTCAAAGACAGCCTCAGCATTGGCAAAGTGCTAAGCAACTCAGTGAGACCCTGTCTCTAAATAAAATATAAAATAGGGCTGGAGATGTAGCTCAGTGGTTGAGTGCCCCTGAATTCAATCCCCTGTGCCCCCCCAAAAAAGATTGGTCTGTTACTTTATTGAACATTAGGGAGAAATTTGCTACAGTTTATTTTTAAAGAATATATTCAAAACTTACTGTTTAATTTTATAAAAGTAATATTTATCATTACAGATTCAAGGAAAAAACACTATAATGTTGTGATTTTTTTCCAGGCATAGAAATTTTTTACAGTTGATAAAAATGATCTGGTATAAAGTATATTAGACTCCACTTCAAAGAGAAGCCCATTTGTTCACTCCAAGAGTGAATGCAATGAGAAATATAATGAGTACAAGTGACAATGTATTAGACAATTGTGAGACAAAGTGGTTCAAACTGAAAGAGCAGATAGGATGAATAAACAAAATTCTTTAGCTAACAATGAGGAATCAAATGGAAGGATAGGTGAAAAGTATAACAAAACCCCACAGGGGACAATCAGGACTGACTTATAGCTAAGATGTCTCCAGCCCACAGCCCTGTGCCTATCCTAATGAACACCAGCCCTTACCTTCAACTCATTCTGGTAAAAATTTACCTATTTGGTTATATTGATTATGTTATCCTTTCATTTGCTTTTTCCAAATAGCACTTGTCTACTTGAGCTCAAGTACCAGTCCCTTCCCAGGAAGCAAGAGAAATGCCCACACTTCTCCAGTAGATCAGCTCAGGCCCTGGCCCTTAGGCTCAGACACAGCTTGTATTAGTGTGAAAAATTGCACTGCCCACATCAACCCACACCATACTGTGTCCTCAATGGGATTCTGCTAACAAGCCCTACCTTTTCTTTATTCACTGTTTTAATTGCCCACTTAGTTTCTGTTTCCTTGTCTGTAGCTTCAACGACCAGTCCAAAGCTCCCTTGTCCCAATATTCTTCCAAAGGTATAGAAATCCTGGAGACAAAATAAGAGTTCTTTTGTCTTTCTCTGCCATTCATCGGGTATTAAAAATGAGCACATAATACTGACAGGTATCCGCTCAAGGGAAGAGAGATTCTGTTACAGGATAAAATCAAAGAGATGACGCTACTTATTTGCTTCAGTATTCATAAAAAATCTTAACTAACAAAAAATAAGTTTTGATGAATTTTATTAACTATCCCCTTTAGAGGGAAACTATAAAATTCCAAATGGTGAAATACGGAAAAACTCAAAAGTGTAAAATGAGTCCCTTTCAAACTATAATATTAATGAAATATCTTTATAAATATTAATAAAATATCTTCAGAAGAAAAAAAGAAATGGAATGGTAATATACACACACATTTGCATATATATATATATATATATATACACACACAATTTATACAGTCACCAAAAAAATTATTCCAAAACTCAGAGTTATACTACAAAATCAATATATACACCCATTGAACAATTGCTTTATTGTTTACAATTAATGTTTTCTCTTTTTCATTATCTCTATTAGTTATTACTCTTATTTTTTTCTCATTTTGTTTTAGAAAAAGCAATATGTGACAGAAATTTGAATAAAAATTAGAATTGAGGAGAGGAATAGCTGGGTCAAATGGTGGTTCCATTCCCAGTTTTCCAAGGAATCTCCATACTGCTTTCCATATTGGCTACACCAATTTGCAGTCCCACCAGCAATGTACGAGTGTGCCTTTTCCCCCACACAATTCACAATAGACTGTGGAACCAACCTAGACGCCCTTCAGTAAATGAATGAATTTTTAAAATGTGGCATACATACACAATAAAATATTACTCAGCAATAATGGAGAATAAAATCATGGCATTTGCAGGTTAATGGATGGAGATGGAGAAGATAATAAATACTAAGTGAAGTTAGCCAATCCCCAAACAACAAATGCCAAATGTTTTCTCTGATATAAGGAGTCTAACTTATAGTGGGGTAGGGAGGGGGGCATGGGAGGAATAGACAAACTCTAGATAGGGAAGAGGTTTGGGAGGGGAAAGGAGGGGGCAGAGGGTTAGCAATGATAGTGGAATGTGGTGGACATCATTGGTGTGAACATACTTTATATACAAACAGAGATATGAAAAATTGTGCTCTGTATGTGTAATAAGAATTGTAATGCATTCCACTGTCATGTAGTTACAAAATAAAATTTAAAAAATTAGCACTGAGAAGAAAATGAACACATCCACAATTCCACCATCCAGACCAAGACTCTTTCTGCTTATCATGTAACATCTAAATTAACTGCTCCTATTCCCCACTGCTTACACTCCTTTCTTACTTTTCTACAAGAAATGCCCAATGACTTAACTCCTTCTCAGAGGGCTTTCCTTCCTAACTCTGCACAACGATGACTGTTACTTTATTCATACTCCCTTCAGCATGTTTATATTAGTCTTCAAAAACTATTATTACTATCATGCTTGTTTTGGCTTTTGTTTTGTTCCAAGACAGAATAGAAGCTCCTTAAAGAGCTGTTTCTGTTGTATCCATTAAAAGACCTAGTTCCTCCCTCTTCCCCAATACCACATAATAGTGTAGTAGTGAGAATCAAAGTCAGAAAACTCAGATGATTAATCAGAAAATAGTACAAAGTATAATTTTATTTTTTATTATATTTACATATAACTCCCACATATATAGTATGTAAAGTGAATTAAATCTCAATTAATATAGTCATTTACCCTTTTTTCCCACAGAATAATCTCTTCATAACTATGTCCCAAATTTCTCTTGTCCTTTAAAACAAAACCAACCTTAATTTYCCTCTTTAAATATACGGAACCACATTCTAAATACAGTATTTTAGTACTGATTAAGCTGGATTTTTTAAAAATGAGGAGTGCACAGTGTTTTATAACTTATAGTTTTCTTCAACTAACTGCTCTGATAGTGTTATATACTAGTTAAAATAAGGAGAAAATGATTTCTTGTCTCTAATAATTTTAAGAGGATGCTGTTAAAATGATAATTCAAATCTATTTTTATTGACACAGAGGAAGTTGATGATATAGCAGAGTGTGAAAACCATGTACTTACAATCCCTTTAAAACACGTGGGTATGATAAGGCACTTACATTGGTGTGTGGACAGATGTCATCTAAATATTAAGAGTGGTTATAGGTAGTAGACTTGCAGATGATTGTAACTTCATTCTTTATACTCTTTGAAATGATAAAAATATTTATAGTGAGTTTGTCCATGCTATGGGGGAAAGAAGTTTGAATTTCAACTATACAAATTAAGATTATTTCTTTAAAATGTACATATACTTGAAATATTTCTTAATTTAAAACAGACTTTTTGAAGAAAAATAGAGTATAACTGGTACATAAATAGAAAAAACTGAAGATAATAAATTAGACTGGCTAAAACTGTGTGATGATTTTTATTTTCTTCACTTTTTATCTGCATGTTCATGATCTTTTACAGTGAACACATTTTGCTTTTTGAAAAGCTCTTATAGCTAAATTTGTGAACTTTTAAAGTRCAGAACTTTTATTTAAAGAAAGAAAGTTTAAACTTTTCATGTCTACGTTTCCTAGGAAGTTTTCCTGATCACTCCAGATAAATTGCCAAATATCTCCTAACACAATTTTAAAAAATTACTTAACATGAATGAAAATTCTTCTTGCAATTATTTTTATTATAGTTTCTTCAATCTCGTATTAAAGGGACACAATTTAATTTTTAATGGTTCTAATATTTAATTCATATTCTTATATAATAATCAAAATCCTTGAAGAATAATACTGCTATTGATCCAATCTGGAAAAGATAGAAAGATTACAAGGGAAACTGTGACCTCCCTATCAATCACCAAGGAGATGAACAGCTAAAGTATCAAAAGTCATGTGGCTTCTACATCTTCAAGGAGTCCACATATGCACTGTACTTTGAGGGACAGCCAACATTACACCAAAATGTTCTCCTTTTTTCTAGTAAAAATGCCCTCTTCTTTATTGAAGTCCATTTCATCCTCTATGAGCAAGAAATTTAGCCTGCACTTTCTTGAGTAAACACTTTTGAGTGGGTTACAGTGGCACACACCTGTGATCCCAGCAGCTCAGAAGGCTGAGGAAGGAGGATCGCAAATTCAAAGCCAGCCTCAGCAATGGCAAGATGCTAAGCAACTCAGTGAGACCCTATCTCTAAATAAAATACAAAATAGGGCTGGGGATGTGGCTCAGTAGTTGAGTGCCCCTGAGTTAAATCCTTGAAAAACTTTGACATACTTGAAAATGGGAATTTTCCTCCTTACTATACTTCTTTTCCTTAAAAGCTGATTTTGAAATATTTTTTTTTTGCCACTAACCACTGACTTAGAAACAACCTGCAAGTCCCTAGAAGCTTCAGCTTGTTTCCTGTATACCTCAATAGAAGATCCATCCTCCATCCTTATGTGAGGAACTTTTCCTTCTGAAATGTTGCACCGACTCCACTGTTGTTGACATGGTTTTCTTTCTACATTTGAGGTTCTGGAGGTCTAGAACCAAAAAGGAATTTTGAAAAATAACTTTAAGATACAATATTCTTGTTGATAATGAACTCTAATTTAAATAATCCAATATTCTCTGAATTAAGATAACATAGTAATAACTCATTCAGAGACACTACATGGCCATAACTATATAATTCAAGTAGTAAATAGTAGTTGATGGGGAAAATGTGAAACAGGTTCAATTTGGGGGAGTGAGAACATGACTTTTCTTAAACTTAACTGCTTTCTGTCTCAAAAATTGTACTATATCAACTATACTCTTCTATACTGCCTCTTCTTTATGTGGATAAATATAGACAAATCAGTTCAACTGGGTATCTATAGATTGTTTGTAACTAATGCAAACTGATTTTGTAAAGTATATTTGAAATTCCAGTTAGAAAACCAGAAATTTCCTTAAATAATAAACCATAATCACACTTTATTTAAACACAGACATAAGTCTCATTCTGCATCAGTGGAAGAAAATGCTCAAAAATTCAGATTTGATTCAATTTGAAAAATCAATCCTTATAACCCATTTGTTTAAAGGGCTGGAAAGACATTGCTAATTGTTGTGGATCCTGAAAAATAATTAATTTGGGTATTAGTTGGAAATATCATAAGACATACAATTAACCAACTTTGCTCACCTCTTTTGTAAGAAATGTTTCTTTTTTAAATATTTTAGTTGGACTTTTATCTTTATTTATTTATATGAGGTGCTGAGAATCAAACCTAATGCCTCACATATGCTAGGCAAGCGCTCTCCCACTGAGCTACAATCCCAGCCCAGAAATGTTTCTTTTATGGTTAAGAAGGAAATGAATTACCTGACAAGGGCTCATGAGAAGGAATTAAGAAAGGGATTAAATAATGGGATGTTAACTTATAATAAGATGTAGAATCCTTGATATTTACCAAATCTTTCCCAGAAGATTCTCTGCTGATACTTTTTTCTTTTTTTCTCTCTGCTGAAACTACAATTTCTGAACTGGCAATGCTTGATGTCTGTGACATTTCTACCACCAAAACTGGAGAATAGTTTGATGTGCAAGAACATAATCTAAGTCCATTATTCTGCAGGGTAGATGAACAGTGGGGGCATTGTCTAGATATTTTATTCAAGTCACTATCAGCCATTTGTTTAGCTCTGCAACAAAAATAACTTGAAAGATGTTTACACTTTTTAAGGAAGAGAATAATCAAAAAGGATATGGTAGGTTGAAGGTGAAAACTGCAATTTCCAATTGGTAAGGTCCTTAGGTTAATGATGCACTAGATTTATATTCACACATGAGATCTGCAGAAAGAAAAAAAAATCATTTAGGAAATTCCTATCCCACAATCCTCCTAGAGATTACAGAAAAACTAGTAACTAGCACCAAAAGCATCTCTTACCACAGGAAAAGTTAATGTCAACAACAAAATTGGACTACAAGGATGCTGAAAAACATGTTCTAAAACAGTGTTTTATCAAATTATAGTGATGGGTAATAAAATCATTTTGGTGGATTGATACCAATTTTTGTAAATGAAGTAGAACAGATAATATCAGAATTTGCATAGATCCTCAGTAAGTTCTGTGAAATATTTAATTATACAAATATGTTATAGAATATGTGTGCATTGTGTGCATACTTGGTCAAGGTGTAAATATTCTTTAATGTGGGTTATGGCAAAAAAAAAATAAGATCTAAAAATATTGGTATAAAACATATATCAGTGTTTTCAAAATTTAAAGCCTTTGTCTATTTATTATCAGAGCAAATTCTTATGCATTTCACAAAGGAATAGATAATTTGATTTTTTAAAACTACTCAATTCTAAAATGTTCAAAGAGAATATTACCAGTAACCACATTTTTACACTAACATGGAAAAAAACAGGAATGAGTGGGTGCTATTTTTCCATGAATCTAAAAGAGGTATATTCAGAATCCTACCAAACTAGGTTCATTGACTACTATATGGTGGCAAGTTAAAAAGATCTGACCTGCAGAGGAAAGGAGGAATGTGCTAGTAGTATATATAAGAGAATCTTAAGTACCTAGAAATACATTATTATGGTTTTATGTCAGACTATTTCAGATACTCTTTAAATGTGTATTTTGAAGTCACAGAATCAAAAGTTTTGAGATATGTAAAATACACTGTTGTCCTTTGAAATGGAATAAGCTTGGCCAGAATAGGAAGATAAATATTTTTATTTCATTAAAGAAATATATTTCTAGCCAGTTGCAGTGGTGCACACCTGTAATCCCAGCAGCTCGGGAGGCTGAGACAGAAGGATCACAAGTTTCAGCCAGCCTCAGAAACTTAGCAAAGCCCTAAGAAACTCAGCAAGACCCTGTCTCAAAATAAAAATTTTTAAAAACTGGGGATGTGGCTTAGTGGTTAAGTGTCCCTGGGTCCAATCCCTGATACCCTCCCCCCAAAAAAGAAAAGCACAAAGAAAGAAAAAAAGGGGGGGAGGGAAGGAGGAGAAAGAAAAAAATCTATTTCTAGTCTTAGTTGTCTAAGCCTAGTATTTTAATCAGAAATGAACGTACACTTTTATCAAATCCTTATCTACTTTATCATATTTTTTTCTTTTGGATCTTGTTATATGTCATATTACATTAAAATCTTTTCTAATATTAAAGTGTTCTTGCATTTATAATATGAACCTTATGTGATCATGATGGATGATTCTTTTAAAAGTACTAAAGAACTGGCATGTTTGCATTTTGGCAGCTTTATACATAAGTTAACCTGGTCTACAATTTTCCTTTTCAGCCATCTTCATCAGGTTTTAATATGGGCTGCTGGCTACTTTCATGAAATAAATTGGATACCTTTCCATTTTTTAATGCTTGATAGCAATCCATATAGTATGGGAATCTACAGAAATATTTGCCAGGTCCAAAGGATTTATGAAAGATATTGCTAGCAGATTATCCAATATTTATTCTCTCATCCTTCCTTACTAACAGAATCCTGATTCCATTTGTGGCAGCAAACAGTGTGCTCATTAACATCATATATTTTCTGATTTCTCTTGTAGATTAGGGATAGTTAGTGACTTATGGCCTAGAAGCTTACTTAAAAACAAWTTTTTTTAAAAAAAATTATTATTTTTAGATATACATGAGAGTAGAGTGTATTTTGACATTATACATACATGGAGTATGACTTATACTAATTAGGATCCCATTCTTATGGTTGTATATGATATGGAGTTTCACTGGTGGTATATTCATATATTAACATAGGAAAGTTATGACCATTTCATCCTATCCCTCTGCCTTCCCTTCATTCCCCTTTGTCTAATCCAATGAAATGCTATTGTCCTCCCACCCCTTGTTGTGTGTTGGCATCCATGTATCAGAGAGAACATCCAGCCTTTAATTTGGGGGAATTGGCTTATTTCTATTAGCATGATAGTCTCCAGTTCCATCATTTACCAGTAAATGCCATAATTTCATTCTTCTTTATGGCTGAGTAATATTCTATTATATTATATTATGTCACATTTTCTTTATCCATTTAACTGTTGAAGGGCATATAGGTTTGTTCCATAGCTTAGCTACTGTGAATTGAGCTGCTGTAAATATTGATGCAGCTGAGTCAGTAATAGGCTGATTTTAAATCCTTTGCATATATACCAAGGAGTGGGATAATTGGGTCAAATGGTGAGAGGGAATTTAAGATGAACAGAAATAATAAAAATGCAAGCTTTGTTGAATTTTGCCAATAAGGCCCCAAATAAACTGATTCCTCACTACCTCTCAGATTTTATATCTTCACATTTTCTCTCTCACTCTGGATACCCCGATCTCCTGTTGCTCCTTGAAGATGCCAAGCATATCCCTTTTGAAGTCTTTTGGCTTTCTTTTTGCTCTGCCTAGGATGCTCTTCTCTTAAATATTTGCCTGCTCTATTGCTTTCTTATGGTTTCTGCTTATTTGAGAGGCCTTTCCTATCCACCTCATCTAAAAAAGAAGGCCTGCTCACTCAATCCCCTTACCTTACTTTATTTTTCTTTATAGCACTTATCATTTCACTCAGGAAATTTTATAAAAGAGTTCTTTCCCTCCTTTAGAGAAGAGATGATTCCCACATAAATTTTCAGCAATGCAAAGCCACCTAATTCATTTCATTGAGTTTGATTATGGCAGTGTTCCCCAGAAGGGGAGAGGTCCTTCTGGCCAATCTCATTTATGCATAAATGCAAAAGTCCTAAATGTTCTATTTGTATTTACCCTAGGTAATGTATACAGTGTGTTCCAAGATAATTGGATATAAGTAATAGACAAGTCATCCCACTAAGCATGACCTTTCATCAAAGTAGCAGGAAAAAATTATTCTGTTGTTGTTAAAATTCATAATGGCGAGCTTGAGAATAGGTGCATAGAAAGTACCTCCAGACAGGCAGAAGAAGAAAAGAATATACCTGATGCCATACACAATGCATACCTGGACAAACGCTTAACCTTGTTTTTCAAGTACGTGTAGCAAGACAAAGGTAACTCAGAATTTACCTGTATACACTTTGTGAAATGATTTAACTTCAAGCCTAGAAGAAAATGCTTTGTATTTCAAGTTAAATATAAAGCCTGTAACCATCAATGACTTAGAGCAGTAGAACAGATCTGCAAATAACAGCCTTTACATTTAGCAAAAATAGTGCTTTCTCTCTACAGGTGTAGAAAAGTCCATGTCAGATGTATGCATTTAGAATACTGATTTTTATGGTACTTTTTATAAGAAACTGTAAGAAGCATTCACAATATAAAWATATATATATATAATATTCACAAACTTTTTACCAGAACTGTTAAATATTAAATTTCCCATTTTTTTACTACTAAGTTATAAGGCAACTTAACTATTTCTCAGATATGTAGTTTGCAATTATTTTTCCTAGTCTGTATGTTTTCTTTACATTCTGTTGATTCTTTCCTTTGTTGTGTAGAAGCTTCATAGTTTGATATAATCCTGTTTGGTTTTGTTTTGTAGCCTTTTGATGTAGTATTTAAAAAAATCATTGTCAAAGCCGATGTCAAAGAATTTTTCACTTATGTTCTCTTCTACAAGTTTTATGGTTTTAAATCCTATAGATCTTTTGTTTCTTTTGAACAGATTTTTGTGTATGGTATAATAGTGTAATCATCCATTGGGAAGTAGAAATCCCATTTTCTCAACAATATTTATTAAAGATACTATCCATTCACCATTGTGTTTTTTGCTACATTTGTCAAAAATTAGTTGACCATATTTGTTTAAATTTATTTCTGAGCCTTCTATTCTATTCCACCTGTCTGATGTCTGTTTTTTTTTATACCAGTAGTATTTTTTTTTGTTTTATTTTGTTTGTTTGCAGTGTTGAGGATTGAACCCAAGGCCTTTGCACATGCTAGGCACTTTGTAATATAATCTTWAAAAAAAATCAGAATATGATGTTTCTGAATCTGCTTTTCTATTGTAGTATTGTTTTGATTATTTGGGGTTTTTGTAGTTGCTTAAGAATTTTAGTACTGGGCTGGGATTGTGGCTCAGTGGTAGAGCACTTGCCTGGCATGTTTGAGGTACTGGGTTCAATCCTCAGCCCCACATAAAAATAAATGAATAAAATTAAGGTATTTTATCCATCTACAACTAAAAAAAGAATTTTGGTACTGATTTTCTATTTCTGTGAGGAATGCCATTGGAATTCTTGTAGGGATTATGGTAAATCTATATATTGCTTTGAGTAACATGGATATTTTTAACAATATTAATTCTGCTCATCCATGAATATGGGATATCTTTCCATTATTTGTGTATTCTTCAATTTCTTTTATCAATGTTTTATAATTTTCAGTGTACAAATCTTTTATTTCCTTGGTTAAATTTATACCACATTTTCCTTTTGATACTATCATGAATGGGATTATTTATTAATTTCTTTTTCAGCGATATTATTATTTACATATAAAAGTGCTAATTTTTGTATATTGACTTTGTATCCTGAAACTTTTCTAAATTCATTTATTAGCCTAATAATTTTTTGTGGAATCTTTATAGAGTTTTATACATTTAGGAGCATATTATCTGCAATGGAAAAAATGTTACTTCTTCCTATCTAAATTGGATGGCTTTCCCCCCTTTATCTGACTCTTATATTTCCAATACTATTTGGAGTAGAAATGG